ATTTTATTATTCACACCCGAGCAAACTCTTTTGAGTTAGGTGACGTAGGTACGAACCTAATAGAAATACATAGCTGAATAGATTCTGAATTGTTTAAGATGAGGAAGTTCGATCATTTTTCTTCGAGAAGACCACATGCGGCATTCATGATAATACGCGAATGAAGCATAGCGGTATACGCCCTTTGGAGCCCTACAGAACAGTATCATGGAGTCCCCCCCCTACCAAATATTTTGTTGTCCACTAAAGAAAGCTCAATTTAATTCTTGAAACACATTTATACAGATATTGGAATCAGAAAATAAATTATTTCTCTTTACACCTAGCGGTTATAATTTCGCTAAAGCGATGAAAGGAAAATTACTTTTTGTACTTTCTCAATCGCGCCGATTTTCAATATTGCCGAACAATTTAAAACACATTCATCCTGTTCGTCCTCAATCCCCAATCGAACTCTTTTAAACGTTTCCTTGCAATACTTTTTTCAAAGGTTTTCAATTCCCTCGGGTGCAGCTCGTCGAATATGAATATTTTATATTTTATTTTTTCAGTTTTTTTTTTAATTCAAAGAACCGCCTGTTTCTGATTCATGGCACAATACCAACAAGGCGCTGGTCCTTTTAATCTTCAACCCGAACCTATTCATTTACTTTGATGTCCTTTTAGTCGTTTAACTTCTTTTATTAATGTAAAAGTAAAAAAATAATAATCTAAAAGCTTTGTAGAACGCAACTCAATTTCGCACCCAAATTCGGTGCTTCTTCAAATAACGACGGGGGCGATACTGGTACAAAAGTAGTGCACAGAACCCGTTGAGCGACCCAGTTAAATAATCATGAGCACATCGGCGTTGGGTGTGATGTATAGGGTTGTTCGGAAAGTCATTTCGTTTTTTCCCGACAGAGGATTTAATTGTATTATTTTGCACCGAACTTCACATTTAAGCCGTATAATTTTTATATGCTTTGAGAGCTCATATAGCAAGGCTTGTGTGTGAAAAATTCCAATTAATTCTACGCAGTAGTTTTTGGTTGGTGCCCTTTTAAATATGGAGAGCGATAAGCAGCATTTTCGACATATCTTACTGTTTTACTACAGAAAGGGTAAAAATGCTGTTCAAGCCAGAAAGAAATTGACTGATGTGTATGGAAAAGGTGTGTTGACAGTACGCCAGTGCCAGAACTGGTTCGCTAAATTTCGATCCGGTAATTTTGATGTCGAAGATTCACCACGTTCGAGAAGGCCGGTTGAAGCTGATAAGGACGCGATAAAGGCATTAGTTGATGTGAACCGGCGAATAACAACACGTGAGATCGGATTGAGGTTAAATTTATCAAATTCAACAGTTTATGACCACTTGAAAGGCCTGGGATTATCCTCGAAGCTCGATGTATGGGTTCCCCATGTTCTCACAAAGAGAAATCTGTGTCGCCGCATTGACGTCTGCGATTCGCTTCTCAAACGTCACGAAAATGATCCGTTTTTGAAGCGCATCATCACTGGGGACGAAAAATGGTGTGTATACAACAACGTCAAAGGCAAGAGGTCATGGAGCAAAAAAGATGAACCGGCTCAAACCATTTCCAAAGCCGATATTCACCAAAAAAAGGTAATGTTGTCTGTTTGGTGGGATTTTAAAGGAATCGTTTTTTTTGAGCTTTTACCGGATAAAACAACGGTTAATTCGGAAGTCTACTGTCATCAGCTCGACAAACTGAATGATGCACTTCAACAGAAAAGGTCAGAACTAATCAACAGGAAAGGTGTAGTGTTTCACCAAGACAACGCGAGACCTCACACAAGTTTGGTCACTCGCCAAAAGCTTTTACAGCTTGAATGGGATACAATGCTACACCCACCATATTCTCCAGCCCTGGCACCATCGGATTATTATTTGTTCCGGTCAGTCCAAAATTTTTTAGACGGTAAAACCTTCACCTCAAATGAGGAGGTCAAAAACCTCCTCGATCAGTTTTTTGCCAGCAAAGACCTTATGAGCGTGGAATTATGCTACTACCAGAAAGAGGGCAAAAGGTGTTGGACCAGAACGGTCAATATATAATTTAATAAAGTATTTGTTTATTATACGAAAACTGTCTTTCATTTCCACAAAAAAAAACGAAATGACTTTCCGAACAACCCTATAGATACATATTAACTTATTACAATAGGTACAAATAAATTTTAGTAATCAGGTCTTAAAAAATGCATAACCATCTAATTTGTTTGGCAGATTTTAAGCACCTGCCTGTAATTCTACATAAATGCAAGTTAAATAACTGTTGGGGTGTGTAACGTTTCCAGAGCTTTCAATTAATTAATTCGTATTGGGCGACGGGCGACCATCATGAAAAGATCAAACAGGAGTCACAGTCACAGGACGGTCCAGTAGCCCTTTCGAAAGTTAAAGAGGGTCACTTTTGTGTACAAAAGCAAATGGGATGCGACCGTTTCACCAAACGAAATTAATTGACCGCTCCGTGTGCGAGGCATCGTCTACATACATGTGTGTAATTTAACGGATAAATATTTTCCTGGTACTAATATTATGTGGACACGTGTGCTATTTTTATTGCTTTATTATATTATATCTGACGGTAGGTTTTCGAATGCACGAGGGGGATGTAAATTTTAAGAAGCATGGGGGATGAAAGGATATCAACGAACCACGTCCTTTAGCCTGTGCCTATGTTTATCATCATTACGTAATCGGCATTAGGATTGTTTTTAAATATTAACGGAACTTGAGGTAGAAATATTATGAAACATCGAAACATGGTTTAAAATTAAACTAGTTTGTCGCTAATTTGATGCTGAAAAATAGAACCTTTACCCATTTGTCGGTAGTCTAGTGAAACACGACCAAATCGGCATTACACATAGCGTATCTCGAAATACAAATACCATACAGCAATATTGACCAATTTTAGCAACAAATTATGGTCTTTACAGATACGCCATGACTGCTCTCCAATCGTATTTCACTGATCAGCTCGAAGCTGGATTCGCGACAAAATGGGTAAAAGTACCATTTTTTAGCGATAAATTATAGCCCCTACTATATTTTTCTACGTCAATTCTATTCCGAGATACGCTGTGTGTACTGTCACCTTGGTGACTCTCCACTGTTTTTTCGCTGAACTGTTGGAGGATAGACGAGCGACGAAATGAGTAAGGTATCATCTTTCAGCTACAAATTGTAGCCCCTACTGTGTTTTTCTACGTCATTTCTATTTGGAGATACGCTGTGTGTACTGTCACCTTGGTGACTCTCCACTGTTTTTTCGCTGAACTGTTGGAAGATAGAGAAACGACGAAATGAGTGAAGTATCACCTTTCAGCGACAAATTGTAGCCCCTACTGTGGTTTTCAACGTCAATTGTATTCCGAAATACGCTCTGTGTAGTGCCACCTTGGTGGCTCTCCACTACTTTTTCGCTGAACTGTTGGAAGATAGAGAAACGACGAAATGAGTGAAGTATCGCCTTGCAGCGACAAATTATAGCCTCTACAGTGCTCTTCTACATCATTTCTATTCTGAGATACGCTATGTGCACCGAAGCCTTGGTGGGTCTCTACTGGTTTTCCGCTGGACTGTTGGAGGATAGACAAGCGCCGAAACGAGTAAAGTTTCACCTTTCAGCGACAAATTCGCTACCAATTATAGCCCCTAATGTGTTTCTACGTCATTTCTATGGGGAGCTACGCTGTGTGTACTGTCGCCTTGGTGGCTCTCCACTAATTTTCTGTTGTGCTGTTGGAGGATAAACAAGCGACGATATGGGTAAAGTATCATTTTTCAGCGACAAATTCGCGACAAATTATAGCTTCTACTGTGTTTTTCTATATCACTTTTATTCCGAGATATGCTATGTGTAGTGCCGCCTTAATGGCTCTCCACTGGGTTTTCCCTGGACTGTTGGAGGATAAACAAGCGACGAAATGAGTAAAGTATCATTTTTCAGCGACAAATTCGCTACAAATTATAGCCCTACTGTGTTTTTCTATGCTATTTTTATTCCGAGATTCACTATGTTGTCGACTCTCCATTTTTCGCTGGACTACTGAAGGATTGACTAGTGACAAAATACACAAAAATACTATCTTTCAGCGACAAATTATAGCACACACGAAATACGCTTTGCATAATAGCAACTTGTAATCAGGCTAGCATTTTGTCTATTTTCTAGTAACCAGGTAGGGCGACAAATTCGAATTTGGTAACAAATTAGCGACAAATTATGGTGTACATTAGAAATGAGAGACATGACTTTGTCGTTTTAGCTTAATGTACATAAAATGTGGTATTATATGCTTACGGCTGGTTTTGAAGAGTTTCAGTAATGTATTACTTTAGATAAAGGGTCTTTAAAAATGGAGTAAGTGTTTAGAACAAATCTAAAGTTTGAATTTATTGATTTAGTGATCCCCAAACATCATTTTCTCTCTTTAAATTAACTTAAATGGACATATACTATTTATCCGTTGTGGTACAGAAGATTAGAGATAAAAAGCCAAAAATTATGCACACTGGTTTTAGTTCCGGGGACGTATAATAATTAATTATAAACAAAACATATCATTTGGGTATGCAACATGTAAGGCCAGAACGTATAGCATGTTTAATAAATAAATAAAGCGATGAACATTTTTTAAACTCATTTTCCATCAGAGATAATAGGAAAGAAAAACACTCCAGGCTCAAATGCCAGTTATTTAGATACTACTTAATGTGATAATGCAGCTTTAATTTGATCATACAAAACTGTATAAACGTCTTTACCATATTTACTTATTTGAGACGATAAACCACACAACTTTTGATGCACTTTAAGGTAATTCGACCGAAATTTTATTTACGGTGAACTGACAGCCCCTCCCGGGAGTATACCACCCTCTCCTTCAGTTTTGGTAGCAATTCACACCCGGGGGGAATGCTGTACTTTCTTCCCTTGGTGAGTAATCTAATAATTTAACAATATTTTTTTACGAATCTCCGATATACGATGATAAGCAAAAAAAATTATAACGTTTGTGCCTTTTGCTAAATCGAAAATCTAATCAGTTTTGGTCACTCGAAATGGTGAAAACAAAAAGATAAACTTTGCAAATGTCAAGTGGAAGAATAAGATAAACACAAATTAGATTATACTTAGCAATGATGCATTTATCTTACAGTATTATAAGTATGGTGCAATAAACGTTTCAAACTCGATTACCAATAAATAGTTGGTACTTGTATATTATTGATCTGGGATTATAAAGTCATATCTTCATATCTACATGTCGGATTTCGATCAATTATTTTTTTCAGTGTACGTGTAAATAAACTCGGCATTCGTAATTACCTTAAAGAACTTATCGTCATTGAGTGTACGTGCAGCGATGTGTCTCGCAGTTTTAAATTAGTAAACTAGAAAATTGCATTTCTACAACAAAAACAGTCGTTCAAAATTCAAATCGAAAAAGTAATTCAGTGCAAATTTTGTTAACGGTTATTCATCGAATGGATTAATCAAAAACATTGGTCAATAGATACTGATCGTTAGCGATAGACAGGTATGTGACACAAGTATTAAATACATGTAATTTTATTTAGGTATTAGTACGTTTATTTAAAGATTTAAATTTGAAATTCAGTCAACATTTAAACAAACATACTAACAAATAAAAAATAACACAGTGCAAACAGACTACTGAAAATTCGTCTACTATATATTATACTACTTATCACCAGTGATTTGTCTGGGATGCATAGATACAGAGATATTTACTAACATATTATGTATGTAAATAAGTGTTATCAAATTTAATGTATTTTTAACATCTTATTGTTACGTACAATACGTGAATGAAATTGTGGACCTCTTCGTCATTTCTCTCAAATTGTTCATAAATCAATTTTTGACTTTAAATAATCAGTAATATATTCGTGAAATATTAACGCTCAATAAATAACATTTACCGACTAGAAATCCGAATTTATTATGGAATCTCCTATTATGATCTGATGCCGAAACCCTACCTGAACCCTTTTACGACATGATGACACTGATGTGACCCTGATGTGAATGTCCATTTCTACCCTTTAAATATGCCCTGTATAGCCCGATCTGGTCCTAATGAAGATGCCCTATTTGAACCACCCCAAATCAATAACTTGATCAGGAATCTACACAGGGTAGCCCCATCCGAACCAAGTCCAGCTGCCCATCAAAATTATCTTATCCGGACCGTGGCACCACCAAATTTCCAGTCGGAAAATTCCGCTTAGAAACTCGAGCCTTTGATTATCACTGCCCTTGATTTTTCCAAAGAAAATGTCTATACGATGGTTGGTGGGATCGAAAGAGGAGGTCTCCCCCACCACTGTACCATAAAAAGTTTGTGGCGGTCTCACCCCCATAAAAAGTTATGGGGGTTGAAAGTTGATTATTTTGACAATTTTCATACACTATAGTTCAAATAAAATTCAATTAAAAATTATTTTCATGCGGGTGGAGGTGGGGGATCGAAAGAGGGTGGTCACTTGAAAAAACCCGATAATCTAACCTAACCTAACCTAACCTACCCAATTGATAGAGCTATTTAAATAATATTTTATACAACTTTCTCAATATTTTTATGTATTTTTCATTAGTTTTACCTTTGAATATTGTTTAAGAATGACTATATAAATATTTACATGCCTAGAAATGTATAAAAGTTGGCATATTTATTAACTTTGAACCCCCATAACTTTTTATGGGGGTGAGACCGCCACGAACTTTTTATGGTACAGTGGTGCGGGAGACTTCCTCTTTCGATGCCCCCACCCCTTGGGAGATGGGGGCCATCATGTAGACCTTTACCAAAATTGGAAATTAAAGACCCAAAAAAAATCTGCACTTGAATCTCGAATTAAAGAGTTTAGAATGAATTTAAAATAATAGGGAACAAAAACTATTCCAAATGTACAAGTTTGGGTTACAGAATTTCCCCTCTAAACAATGTCGCGTAAATTTTGTGCAGGAGTGTACATACCTATTAAATCGGTCATAAATTTTATGGTGAGACCATGTTTACACTTTCTATCTACCGCAATAACAAGGTCGTTTTGTAGGAGCCACGCGGGGTCACATTTAAACTGAACGAATACACGTTCACATTACTAAAAAAAGTTTAACGTCAAGTAGACAATAGGTAAAGTACGGCAAAGTAGTAAGTAGTACAGTAAAGTTAATTCTCATTTACGTGTTAGTTATGTTGACGAGACTGGTAAAACTTCAAACTAAGGATACGAAGTGCAAACAGAAGCAAACGTAGTTTTGAAGCGGACAAGTCGTTATTATGTAAAAACTATAAAGTAGAGAATGTTAATTATTTTAATTCACAAATTTTAGCCTTGTACTTTTCCTTCTCGATTTCCATTTTTAATAACAAACAAGTTTCTGCCAGTAAATATGTATATATGTTTTTCAGAATCCGTAAATTCTACAACATCAGTGCGTGTTCTTCCATCGGATCAAAATGTTATCGAAAACGGTTAATTTCATTCGACGAAATAGGAGCGCTCTAGAAGAGAGCAGTCGACGTTTCTTACCCACCCTGTCTTCAGATAAAATTACCTTACCACAACATAAAACCCCACTGAAAGACCGAATCCAACCGATCCCGGTGCCCTTATACGGGGGTCGTCACATGGTCACCATGTTACCAGGCGTCGGCGTCGGTCCCGAGCTGATGAACTACGTGCGCGACATTTTCTCTTTCGTCGGCGTCCCCGTGGACTTTGAGGTAATAACAATAGACCCTCGAGCCGATAGGGACACCGAGGTTGAAAACATAATTTTGTCGATCAAGCGGAACCGGGTGACCCTCAAGTCAAATCTCAGCTCAGATGAACAAGTAAGTAATTACATCCATAAGTTTTACTCTAAAATTAATATGGTTTATTAAAACACGAAATTTTTAAGATGTCCTGTTATTTTAGGGATTTATTGTTCTTCTGTCTCTTTTTAGATTTTCTGGCTGTTCTGTTCAAAAATTACAGGGGGCACATTAGAAACGATTTTGACGTTTAATATTTTTAATGATTTTCTAACATTATATCATTATTTAATATCTAAATAAGTTTGAAATATTTCTGAACAGGTGCAGTTATAGTAAATCGCAGTACAACTTAGTCTCAGTAGAACTGAACCTCAATAAATCGCTCAGATGTACTGAGAATCAGTTATATTGAGAATCAGTTGTACTGAGAATCAGTTGTACTGAGAATCAGTTGTACTGAGAATCAGTTGTACTGAGAATCAGTTGTGCTGAGACTCAACACTGAGACTCAGTTGTGCTGAGACCGTTATAACTCGACAGCTTTGTGTTTTTATTTTCAGGACATGGATCAACCCGAAATAAACGTTATCCTTAGAGGAAGACTGGACCTGTATGTGAACGTTCTCCATTGTAAGTCTTATCCCGGTGTCCCGGCTAAACATGAAAACGTGGATCTGGTAGTGATACGTCAAAACACCGAGGGCGAATACGCCATGCTCGAGCACGAAAATCGCCGGGGGGTTGTTGAAAGTTTAAAAATCATCACGGAGAAGAACACCAGAAGATTGGCCCGTTGGGCGTTTCAGTATGCCAGGGAAAATGGACGAAAGAAAATTACCGTGGTCCATAAAGCCAATATATTGTAAGTAAGGATTTGTTTTGATTTACTTAATAGCACGTGCGCGTCTCGAAGGACAAATTAAGTTTTAAACAAAGTAGTGCCTTAAGTTCGTTTTTATGCCTTTTAAAATGTGGTATATTTTCGTTGCATCACTTGGGCGTAACTCTATCTCAAAATAGTTCGTACTTTTCTGAGGTTTTTACTTTTCCTTTTATGTCCTTTAATTTATTTATAATAATAATTTTATTGTAGTGTAATCCGATAGAATTTGCGGCAATATTAACAAATGAATTTTAATAATTAATTGAGAGTCATTTAAGGTTAACGACTTAATCATTTCTAAATTTATTTATTAATGAATACTTAATCTAAAAAGTCTAAAGAAATATAATTTTTGTTGTAAATACACGGTTAGTTGTTTCGAAACTTTTCTACCACAGGTAAAGGAAAAGCACTCACTTTTATGAATGCAAAAAAATGTAAACGAATGACTAACGAGGTTTTGCACTTTGGACTACCTAATGCCACTTCCCCTAAGTTTTATTCTGAAATGTAATAGCTTCATACTTCGCTGACTCTAAAATAAGGGGAGTTTGTGTCTTTCAACCCAGCCAGCACTTCAATAATACACCGTGCGTAAAGACTTAAAAAGAAACCTAATAATACCGACACAGAAGGAACGTTTCTATTTAAATAAAACACATTTTCGCTTTCTAATTGCAAAGAATAATAACAAATAATCTTATTTCAATACATTGACACTGTTAACTGTCTAACTGGCGGAATTGAAGGGATCGAGAATTTTTATTTGTTTAATAAAATCCTCACCTGAAGACGCTGATATTTTAGCGAAAATATTTATCACAATTAAATCTTAATTGTAGTCACTAAACCAGTTTCATTCCCAAACAACAAACTCCTTAAAATATTTGTGACTAATCAAGACAGACTTAGTCCGACGTAGGGGCTAAAAGGGTTGAAACAAGGGGTCCACATCAGGGTTAATAGCTTATTTCGCAAAAGGACTCAGAAAGGATATCGACATTAGGGCTAAATCAGTCCAAATAGGGTATAGAAAATACGGGATAACTAAGCTACAATCTCGTTGCCCAGATAGAAAGTTTTCCCTCGAAAATTGTGAATTAATGTTTTGTTACTGCGAGAAGATGAAACCAACACTGTCATCCGTTTATAATATTGATATATTAAATTTTTACTTTAGAACATTATCTGATGGCTTATTTTTGCGAACGGTGCAGAAAGTGGCAAAGAAGTTTCCGGAAATAGAACTGAACGATCTACTGATAGACAACTGTTGCATGCGATTGGTGAAGGATCCCCATCAGTTCGATGTCCTTGTTATGCCAAATCTGTACGGAATGATTCTATCTAACACGGTCTGCGGCATGCTCGGGGGTCCTGGATTGTACGCGGGACAAAATTTCAGCGACAGCTACGGACTTTTCGAAACTGGTATTCGCACTGCTGGATTAAAGATAGCAGGTACCTTTTTTTTATTTACCTTTACACAGGATAGAAAATACTACAAATGGCGCGGTAAACGCCATCTGTAGTACGATGCTACATTTTAGGATTACGTATGCTTCAACAAGGTCGATTTAAATATATGGATATCTACTTGCTGAAACGAATATATTTAAATGGACTTTGTTGGAGCATACGCAATCCTAAAATGTAGCATCGTACTACAGATGGCGTTTACCGCGCCATTTGCAGTATTTTCTAAAACGCGCTGTTAAGACAGCAGGTAAAAGTTGGTCTGTGTTCTGTGGGAGCTGTCTGTAACGCGCTGATGAGATCCAAAAAGATCGAAAGGCAGTTTCGACAGAATACAGACCATTTCGAATTATTTTATTTACACAGGATGTTCCAGATATTCGAAAAGGATCAAATTTTTTCATAGAAATAAACCAAGATTGATCCAATGTATAGGTACAAAAATTGTTAAAATGCCACAGATAGTAATGTTTTATTTCGTAATACCAGGACAGTAACATTTCAACTAAAAAGGACCCTTATCAAGTCGGGTCCTTTTGAATTAACGATATGTTCAGACCACCGAGACCGAACTGTATTTTTTCCGGATTTCTAAACAACGACGTCGTGTTTCGTTTGCCAGGTAAAACGTAAACGTGATTTACGGTTTGGATAGATAAATTTTTTTTATCCGTCAACACTTTTACGTTAAGTAAATTTAACGGCCACGGTGATTTGTGTTACTCGTCGCTTTCCTTTTCAGTTGATTAAACTTTTTCCCGTGCGTAAAAGCCGCTTTCGGAATGGTAATAAAGTTCTAGTTTTAACGTCTTAAACGCACAAAAGAAATTAAAACATTTTATGACTTTACGCGCGTTGGCATTTTATTGCTTTCGTTCGATCGATTTTATTTACAAACGTTACGGTGACAAACCTTTATCTCTTTAGATTTCCCTCGTTGGTACAGCATCATGCTCCACGGCATCTCCTAAAGCCCTAAAGTACATCGAACTAAATTAAACTACACCCAAGAATTGTAGGTTACATTGTTTTTAAACATTTCCTTTTTTAGAGCAATCTAATAACAATACTGAACACTTCAATCTTGTATCTTTCTTACTTTTCAAGATATTTAAATTTCGAAAAATGGGCAAAGCTATAGTGTTATTTCTATAATTTTATGTGTTGATTTAAATCATAGCAATTTGAACTATGTCAAACTAACACAACAATGTTATATCTCTCATTTCTAAAATACGCTATAATTTGTCGTTAATTTGCTATCAAAACAAAAAATTTGTCGCTCCAGCCGGTTACTATTAAATAGATTAAATACTAGCCTGGAATAGCTGCCATTACAAACAGAGTATTTGTAGATATAGAAATGGCATAGAGAAATGGCATAATTTGTCGCTGAAAGGTGGTACTCATACCTATTTTGTCACTAATCTGTCCAACCAGCTGTCAACCAAAAAGCAACTGGAGAGCTACCAACGCGATACTACACATAGCGTACCTCGGCATAGAAATAGCCTTAAGAAATACTGGAAGGGCAACTGATTTGTCGCTAATTTATCACTGAAAGGGATATTTATCAATTTTGTCGACAGTCTGTACTCCACCTATGCAGCGAGAAACGATTAGAGAGCCGCCGAGGTGATACTACACATAGCCTTCCTCGAAATACAAATGTCTTAAGGAAATACTAAAACGGCTACGATTTGTCACTTATTTGTCGCTGTACATTTACCAATTTTGTCTCTACTCCAGCTGTGCAGCGAGAAATAACTGAAGCCCCCCAAAGTGGTACTACACATAGCTTACCTCGAAATGGAAATGACTTTAAGAAATACCGAAAGGGCTACGATTTGTCACTTATTTGCCGCTGTACATTTACCAATTTTGTCTCTACTCCAGCTGTGCAGCGAGAAATAACTGGAGACCCGCCATAGTGATACTAGACATATCCTACCTCGAAATAGAAATGACTTTAAGAAATACTGAAAGGACTACGATTTGTCACTTATTTGTCGCTGAAAGACGATATTTTTCCCCACTTTCCTCCAGCTATCTTGCAAAAAACGACTGAAAAGTCATTAAGATGACACGATACATGGCGTATCTAGAAATGGTAATGACATACAGAAATACTGCAAGGGCTACAATTTGTCGCTGTAAGAGATAGTTCTACACCATTTATATTTTGTATAGTACCACATTAGTCTCTACAATTGTTTTTCGCTGGACAGCTGAAGTGTAGAATATCGACAAAATTAATAATAATATCAATTAGCGATAAAATATAGCCTAGTGTTGCCCAAATTCAGTCTTGGTCTTGCAGTCTTGGTCTTGTTCTTGCGTTTTTGCAAGACCAAGACCAAGAACAAGACCGCGTATTTTTAGCAAGACCAAGACCAAGACTGACCGTGCAAGACTTGAGCAAGAACAAGACATAGCCTGCAAGACTCTTGCGTCTTGCAGCTAGGACTTAGCGCTATTTCACTGAGTAGTTAGGTGTAACAGTTCGGTGTATAGGTAGGTACGCTTAGGAATTCTATGAGACGCAAAAAACTGTATCAAAGAATATGAAAAACTGGACCTATGCGCATTACGACTAATACCATAAACATAGCGAATAAAAAAATTATTAAAATCAAACTGAGTGCATGCATAGTTATGTTTTAACCATCGGCACTTTGATAATGCGGCATCAAAGGTTTTGTACTTACTTCTCAAAGAAATTTGCCGCTTTTCGGAAGTACATGGTTATGATACACGCGCCGGCGGCTTCTTTTGAAATCTAAAACAATCGTTGCCGCCACGCCGAAATCATAACATTTGACACTATTTGATTGCCGCCATAGGGTGTAGGTATACTCATGCAAAATAATTTCGAATTTTTTTACACGCTTTATATTATTGTTTGATTTGCGGCGGCATCCTTATCATAGAGCCGGCACGTGGCGAGGCGGCGCGGTAGAAAGCAAGGATCATAAATGTTTATTAAGAAACAGTTACTTCCATGGAAAACGACATATAGGTCAGTTGATTTTTCGAATTTCTTATCAAATCTTCAGTTATTTATTAATCTGCTTGATCTTTACTATGGCTATATTCATTCAAGCTCACAATGTTCCAATTCTAATACGTTTTTCTAGGATTTAAAGTAAACTTTAATAAATAGTAATAGACTAATAGGTAATTGCAAGACTTGCAAGACTCTTGCTGCAAGACCAAGACCAAGACCAAGACTGGGAGCGCAAGACCAAGACCAAGACCAAGACCAGGTGTATTGGCGCAAGACCAAGACCAAGACTGGCTAAGTCTCGTCTTGTTCTTGCGTTTGGGCAACACTAATATAGCCTATACAGTATTTCTATTAGGAAATGTGCTAAGTATAGTATCTGCTTAATAAGAGCAGGTTAGCTTTTCGTTTATTTTCCAGTAACTGGCTGTACTGAAAAATTTTTTGGTTTTGGTAACAAATCAGCGACAAATTATAGTGCACTTTAGAAATAAGAAATACAACTTCGTCGAGCTAGCTTGATATACGTGCTGTTTGGTACGGTATCGCGTAATGTTTACAATGTAGAATGTAATGTTCGAGTTATTGTTTCTGACCCGGTCGTGGACGGTCGACGAGTAGAAAAGAAAGGGGATGACGCATGGGAAAATTATAAAAGGGGAAGAAAAGGTGAACGACCGGGATTCTCCAACAAGAACGAAAGAAATCCTGCCACACATTATTAAGTGGGTGTATCGATGTATGTGTGTGTGTATATATACAATATGATGTATAAAAGTCCATATACGCATGGGGTGATGATAGTAAAAGATCCCTGTGGTTGAATGGGATAGATTTCGTTTCAAAAACATTGGGCTTTTTTCGATATGTGTCTAAGGAGGGCGTCACCCTTAATAAAGACGTTTGCTCACGTAGTGCAAACAGACTGTAATACGAAAAAAATTTTCAAGTTCCTCGACTTATAAAACAAAGAGGAAGGAAGATATATCTCACATAACCGAAACGTTTCGATTTTGAGCATATTACCCTTTAATAAGCATATCTTTTTTATTGAATGAATCGAATGTGTTCTAGCTAATGATAATTTTCTCGGCCCATTCAATACAAAAAAAAAAGGAAATTATAATAACTGTATTGTGCAGGTAAGGGCATAGCCAACCCCGTGGCGATGATAAATGCTTCGGCCGCGATGTTGCGATACTTGGGTCACCGAAATTACAGCGATTTGTTGAAAGAAGCGGTTCGAAGGACAATCTGCGAAGACGCCGTCCGAACCCCGGATATAGGAGGAAATCACACCAGTGACGATGTCGTTTATAAGGTCAAAGACAACTTGTCGGTGTTAATGAGCGATAGCAGTTCGTTCCAAATGACACAAGAGGCAGCAACTTCGTAAAAGATATCAAACTTGAAACAACTGCTATGAACTTTTATAACTTTAAATTACGCATTTTGTATAAAATAAATGTACATTAATTTTATTATATTTGATAAACTTTTAATAAATATGAAAATCAGTATTTTGATGGTATACCTATCGTTAGCATACCAGTGTGATGCTCCTAGACTAATCACAACATTTTTTGGTAAGTAAAGATAATGGGACGACGAAAACAATAGCATATGAAATTGGCACGACAAAATTATAATTATATATACAATAATTTGTCGCTAATTTGTCATCAAATAGAAAAAGTTTGCCGCTACAATCGGTTACTGGATAATTTAGGCGAAATGCCAGCCTGATATCAAACTGGCACTACGTATAGCATATCTCAGAATAGAAAAAATGTAGAAAAATACCATGAGGGCTGCAATTTGTCGCTGAAAGATGATACTTTACCCATTTTATCGCCAGCATATCCTCCAGCTGTTCAACGAGAAACAAGTGGAGAGCCTTCAAACTGGCGCTGCACATAGCGTATCTCAAAATAGAAATGGCGATGGAGTAGAAAAATATTATTTGTCGTTAAAGAATGGTACTTATACCCATTTTGTCGCGAGTCCAGATTCTAGCTGATATATAGTCAAATTGACGGTACACATATCCCAACTGAAATAGAAATGGAGTAGGTAGATACTGTAAACACTATAATTTATCGCTAGTTTGTCGCTACAATTTGCTAGTTTTGCCAACTTTGTCACTAGTCTACCCTGCAGATGTTCAGCGATTAGAACGAAACGATTAGAAAACCACTAAACTGACAAATCAGCGTCAAATATTTATACGATAGCAGCAGGGTAGACTAGTGACAAAGTGGGCAAAACCATCAACTTACAGCGACAAATTATAGCGTTTACAGTATCTATCTACTCCATTTCTTTTCCAGTTGGGCTATGTGTAGTGCCAGTTTGATGGTTCCCCAGTTGTTTTTCGCTGGACATCTAAAGGATAAACTAGCGACAAAATGGGTAAAAGTACCATCTTTCAGCGACAAATTATGGTCCTTCATGTACTTCGAGAAATGCTATGTGTAGTGTCAATTTTATATCAGACTAGCATTTCGTCTATTGTCCAGTAACCGGCTAGAGCGATAAATTTTTACGATTGGTAACAAATTAGCGACAAATTACAGTGCATTTTAGAAATGAGAAAAACTGTTAAAAATTGTGCTAAGGATGTTAAAGTCTTCAATAAAAATTTAGTACATTCAGCAAGCCGGGGTTTTCCTTACGTATATTCGTATACATTTCTGGACCATTTCCCCCAGCGTGTTCAATAAAAATAAGGCACCTTGCCAATATTTGTCGTAGTTTCCCTTAAACCTGAGAAAAGTCGTCGCTATAGCACGAAGCTGTTTCACGCATTAAGGACAATTTAGCGGATTTAATCAGCAATAAAGGCTTTCCATTCATCCCTTACACAAATCCTTTGAATCAGGGAGCTACCGCTACCTTCTCAACCACAATACACAAAGCCTTCCTTTTGAATTACTCATGTATAAATAAATAATAGACAGATAAATGCAGAAACCATCCTATATGAGAAGTTATTCGAGAAAATAGAGACCATTGCAGAAAAAAGGATAGATACGTATATTATATTTTCTATACAAAATCCTCCTCATTTTTTGATCATTAGGTACATTTTGGTAAAATATTTCATATTTACGTAAATCAAGAAATAAAAAATATCTTTTGCGTTTTTATTGTATAACATTATAGCATTTTCAAGATAGTCCAATAGAAGCAAAAAATTCACACAGTATATAGCGAACAGATTTACCTGCGATCAACATCCAATATGATGCATACTCACAATCCCCAATTTACATAGGGGTTAGTTCAAATAACGCCTTTAGAGGCAATGATTTGTAAGACCGAAACCATAAGAATCGTATTACTTTGAATCTTATACATAAATGGGATCAGTTTCGATTACTTTGTTTCACTGACGCCGCTTTTTGGATATACTGCCAACAAGGGTGTAAATATTCACATATAAATACCAATGAAATGAAATACATATTAAAGGACCTGCAGCTGAGATGCGTTGAAATTCTTACAGATTAATTATGAGCCACCGATTAAAAGTTCAAAAACAGAATCATTTTCAACATATAAGGATTTCAATATTAACTTTTAGAATGACAATAGACAACACACCTAGAAAGCCTAGGGGTTAAAAAAAAGAACAGTAAAATAGAAGATAGAAGGATGGAACTTCCCAGGTGAAAAGAATTTTTAAAAAATGTCACAATTTTAGTATATGGACTGATTATATATATGGGTGATTCAAAAGTAACGCCATCTAAATTTTTGATGGGATTGTTTTCCAAAAATTCCAGATCAAAAAAGAATTGCAAACAATTTGAAAGTATTAATACATTATTTAAAATCGTAAGGTTACACTCGGAAAAGGGAACACAATTTTTTGTTTCTGCACCTCCCCTTCACCAGGGAAACTTTTCATACACTTCCCCCTCTTCTCTCCCCTCCCCCTTTCTAGAGGACGCCACTTTTCAGTCATATTTGTTAAATCCTTAGGGGTCAAGGATCATCCTTAAATAGGTGGCGCCATCTAGTAATCGATATACTAAATTGCAACCGACAAAATATGCTGTTCTTTCATTGATTTCAAATTTATTGTTCTAAATACTTTTGATAAATGATACTAAGTTTTATATGATGCAGAACTACTGTAGCGTTTCCACAAAATGAGTTTCTGATATGTCATGTCGTAATTATTTTAAGAAATTGTTTTAAACTCACCGGCTCTTCTTATGTTTTAGTGCTTCATCAAAGTTCTAAGATTATTTGAATGTTCATTCAAAGGTTGCACATATTATTGGCACTGATTGTTTATTACCGATAACACTTAATTTTATGATTAACATCGGGATTAACTACTTTTCTTTTGATTTTTATCCACCACGTGCTATATAACCATTTCCACCATAGATTAGTTCTACTTAGACCAACACGAATACCAGAAAAAATATTCATAGATTTAGGTACTCCATTTAACTCTATAAGAACCTAAGGGGCGGGTGGTTTTGAATTTAAAAAAGTATACAAGTTTAAAGCGCTAAAAACTTCACAAAACATTGAACTAAAGATGATTTCTTCCCCTTCAGCGTCAGAAATTTAATCATAATAATTATTTCCTTTAATATCTTCCCAAAAAATCAATCTCTAGGGAAATTCAAATATATAAAAGCCTTAATCATAATATGTACATCACAAAGTACTAAAACTTTGTTTAAAACTGAAAGAACTTTGTTAATTGGAATAAAATACCCTGTATATGCCCATTTATACATACTATCAACTCAAAACAAGTTAAATATCTGAATACACGACATAATTAGCAAACACTGAGAATTTCGATACTTTTTTATAATAAATGGGAACTCTTTAGTAGTTTATTTTATAATTATTAATTAACATTTCTAGCCATTTCCTTTGCGTTTATATTTAGCGTAAGCGTACAGCGACAAATTATAGCNACATTTCCTCATCATCATTTTCTGGATTTGTAGTATCTGCATCATGTAATAAATGAAGTAACCTGTCTATCTTTTCTTCATTTATTTCAACTTCTTGAGGTTCAGAATCCACATTCTTTACTTCTACATAATCACTGAATTGAACCAACTTTTTGTTCTTTTCTGCAGCTAGAAATTAATAACTGGTAAAATAAATTGATAAATAAAGTTATTACTTAATATACATAGTTGTTCTGGTTCAGCTGATAAATCAGCAGTTACAAAATTTGCAGGAAATAGTCCTTCGCCCCTCTGATTACTGCCTTTCCACCAATTTGCATCAGAATCATCAATTACAAAAACTGAAACAACATACAATATTCTAGAAAAAGTAAATAATAATGATTTTTAGTTTACTTAATTTCTTATACACCTAAAATAATATTTAATAAATGAAAAATATTGCCTTAAAAGTAGAGCTACAGAAACTAATACTACTGTTTAATTAAGACAATGTCAATTTCTTTTACAAATCATCAAAATTTTTTAGTTTTTCCAGCATATTATGCAGTAGCAAAAACCACAATACATTCAGTACTTTTCATACTGTACACTTTACATGAAAACATTATTTACAACAGTTTGGCTTACTTATTTCTCCTGCTGTAAATGTTAATTCATTGTCTTCTGCTGCTTCAAAATCATATAGTGCTCGAACTTTCCTCAATTCCTTTGGGGGTGCAGTACTGCTTGAAGCTAATGCTGCACTTGCAAGATTTGCTGTTGGATAAAGTGATGATGATGTTGCAGCACTAGTTGTAGACCTTGGAGAAGAAGATGTTTCTTTTAAAGATAATTCTATTGCTTTAGCAATTTGTTCCTCCTCTTCAGCAGACTGGACCACATTTGGGTCTTTACTTAATGGAATTGTCTTTTTTGTAGGCTAACAACACAATGTTAAGTATTATTTTTTTCCATATGCAAGCAATTATTCCCATTATTGAAAAAACTTACCATTTCTACTGTAAAATCTGTTCCAGAACTTTTCAATTTATTATACAATGAAGGTACCAAATTCAATTGGGGATCACTCTTAAATTCACCTTCTGCCCACTTTTTTAAAGATTCTTTTAACTTCTGTTGAACTGTTGGATGACACTTTTTTAACAACTTTGTAAATTCGTTCTCAAACTCTCATACATAGATGTTAAATAAAAATTTTAAATTTAAATACAAGTTTTATTTTCTAAATATCGCTTCTTATAAACTTTACAATGATTCTTTCACAAAATGTACAACAACAAAAACTAAATGATATTCTTCCGTTATAATTTAAAAGGTAGCCCTCACAACGTTTCATTCAAGCTTTCGTTATTCTTCTTTTTATCACAATAAACAACTCAAACCAAGTTATACCATTGCAATCTAATATCTCACATATCACTTAAATTCCCCATCGTCCTACCTAACATTACATACAATATATGCATCGTTATTATTAAATGTTGCTTTAAATCTAAAACCTATACATTTTCTAGCATTTTTTTTTCTTTCCTTCTGCAATAAATACGGTTATATTAGTAAAGGTCGTGTAAAGAAGACTGTGTGATAATTATACATATAATTAATAATAAAATATAATCGTTTCAAGCAGAATACAGACGGTTCAGTTTTCTCATTATTTTCTGTTTTGATTACCCCTATGTAATAGTTCAACGTTTTCCTTACAACATCTAAGTGTAAAAAAATACGTTTTCAATAACTTTTAACTTTTAAAAACTACTACATCAGGTGAGTACTGCTAGCGGACGCATATTGTCCGGGCAATTGCTTTGAGGAAGATGTGGAAGGCAAAACTGTTTGCGATCCCGCACTAGGTATCGAGACTCCTGGACCATAGCCAGGTGGTACACTTTGAGGACCAAAATTTGGCGGCAACCTACAATTCAACAAATTAATATAAAAAATATTATTATCGTAAGTATTAAGATTTATTTCTTAATTTTTAAAGGACAGATATTCTTTTTACTAACCCCTGAGGAAATCTGGTCAAACTGCCTTGCTGTTGAATAGTTTGCTGCTGTTGTTGTTGTTGTTGTGGAGGTACACCTCCGGTAAACACATTACTATTTGGTCCGGCTGTTTGACCTGGAGGAAGACCAGGATTCATATGCCCAAATTGGGGCATCGGTCCGCCTCTCGATTCTCCATAAATAAAATGCGGGGGTAACATCATGCCGGGAGGTGGCCCCATCATCGACTGCTGTTGTGGTGGTAAGGAAACCTGTCCCATATGAGTATCCTGCTGGCCTGGAGGGATATTCACAGGCTGACCAATCATAAATTGCGGGGGCATGGAAGTATTTGGAGGCAAGCTGCCATTATGATACATCTACAAAAGTAATATATAGCAATTAATTATAAATACGTGCTAAAGTTCAAGTAATTGTAAATTATTTTACCCCCGTCGGTGGTTGCGAGTTCGGAGGAAATTGGTTGTACATTTTATTTACAGGCTGAAATTGCGGTTCCCTCATTAAACTATGGTATAAACTTAAGGCATCGACTAGATCTGTACTCAGTTTGGTTAACTGTGCATGCTTTCGGTCCACTTGTTCTAATTCAGAATCAATCAAAGGGCCCATGGCATTGGCTTCTCCTAAAAGATAATTAATAAGAATTTAGAAGAGAGCCTAACAAATTGAATACAAAAATATCATTAATATATACTGTTATAAGTGTTCTTATTAATTAATTAATTAAATAAAAAAAAACATACTTTCCAATCGTAACATTTCCTCATCATCATTTTCTGGATTTGTAGTATCTGCATCATGTAATAAATGAAGTAACCTGTCTATCTTTTCTTCATTTATTTCAACTTCTTGAGGTTCAGAATCCACATTCTTTACTTCTACATAATCACTGAATTGAACCAACTTTTTGTTCTTTTCTGCAGCTAGAAATTAATAACTGGTAAAATAAATTGATAAATAAAGTTATTACTTAATATACATAGTTGTTCTGGTTCAGCTGATAAATCAGCAGTTACAAAATTTGCAGGAAATAGTCCTTCGCCCCTCTGATTACTGCCTTTCCACCAATTTGCATCAGAATCATCAATTACAAAAACTGAAACAACATACAATATTCTAGAAAAAGTAAATAATAATGATTTTTAGTTTACTTAATTTCTTATACACCTAAAATAATATTTAATAAATGAAAAATATTGCCTTAAAAGTAGAGCTACAGAAACTAATACTACTGTTTAATTAAGACAATGTCAATTTCTTTTACAAATCATCAAAATTTTTTAGTTTTTCCAGCATATTATGCAGTAGCAAAAACCACAATACATTCAGTACTTTTCATACTGTACACTTTACATGAAAACATTATTTACAACAGTTTGGCTTACTTATTTCTCCTGCTGTAAATGTTAATTCATTGTCTTCTGCTGCTTCAAAATCATATAGTGCTCGAACTTTCCTCAATTCCTTTGGGGGTGCAGTACTGCTTGAAGCTAATGCTGCACTTGCAAGATTTGCTGTTGGATAAAGTGATGATGATGTTGCAGCACTAGTTGTAGACCTTGGAGAAGAAGATGTTTCTTTTAAAGATAATTCTATTGCTTTAGCAATTTGTTCCTCCTCTTCAGCAGACTGGACCACATTTGGGTCTTTACTTAATGGAATTGTCTTTTTTGTAGGCTAACAACACAATGTTAAGTATTATTTTTTTCCATATGCAAGCAATTATTCCCATTATTGAAAAAACTTACCATTTCTACTGTAAAATCTGTTCCAGAACTTTTCAATTTATTATACAATGAAGGTACCAAATTCAATTGGGGATCACTCTTAAATTCACCTTCTGCCCACTTTTTTAAAGATTCTTTTAACTTCTGTTGAACTGTTGGATGACACTTTTTTAACAACTTTGTAAATTCGTTCTCAAACTCTCTTGAAGCTATTTCTATATGAAACACTTTTCCACAATTGCTTACACAAGCATCTAATAGCTAAAAGATGATTATAATTAAACAAATTTGTTTATCATGAAGTGTAGCTGTAATTTATCATTAGCCAACAAGATTTAAAACAAAGATGGTTGAACAATGATAAAATTTATTCATCACTTACTGTAACTGCTTGAACTTGTATATGTGGATCACTATTGTTCAGTCTTTTATAAATAGCTCTCAAACAGGCTTTAGCATCATCTGATGACTTTCCAGCCTTATCACAAATATCCAAAATAACATCCCATAGCTCTGTTGTGTTTTTTTCACTAGTAGCTTTCTCTGTTGTAAAAAAATAATTGATTGTATCAGATCATTTGTCTCTAATCAGCGAGTCAATGACTTGTATGATTCATAGTTTTGTATGAGCGAATTAACTGCATGAATTTACAGAAATATGTTGTTTACATTAGCTTAAAATCGAGCACTAAGTATTATGTACAATAGTACAGGTGAAACTTCTCACTCACCAACTTCTGTTTCGAAAGAATTCGTTGCCTTAAAAAATGTATTCATTGCGAACAACACTTAAAATTTCTTGATGATTATTTTATTATGTACCAGTTGTCATTGGACAAATAAACAGTGATTATAACGTATTTTTATCGATATCTTTCATTAATTTTATACAAGTCTAAATTCTTTCCTTGACAGTTAACTAAAATTTAGCATCAGGATAGCCAAACCTACATAAAATAAGTAACTATTTCTGACAATTGGTATGAGTGATATGAATTATCTATGGAAATAGATTTATGGATGACAGGCATCACAGTCATAGATAATAGGATGACAGTATTATCTATGTGACAGTTTATTGAAAGGAAAGTAGGTGAAAGGTTATAAATTAAATTATTATAAATTAATACAAAAAAATAAGTTTATACCACTAATTATTGATCATATTTCAAAAGTAACATAGTTTTTTCTTACGAAAAATTTAATTTATAATGACTACTGCTGCTCGGCCGACATTTGAACCAGCAAGAGGAGGTCAAGGAAGAGGTGAAAAAGACCTTAGTGCTATATCTAGACAATACTCGAGCAGAGATTTACCAGGTCACACCAAATTAAAATACAGGTGAGTAAACTAATAAGAAGCTTTGCTTGTGTGAGTGCTATCTAAAATAATACGTTTGCAGAGAACATGGCCAAGGAACAGTGGAAGAAACGCGCAGTCGAGACTTCCGTAGAGAATTGGAGGAACGTGAAAGAGACTTGAAAAGGCCGAAAAATGCTTCACAGTCTGAATATAGTAAGCGATTAAAACTAGATCAAGTGCCTGCTGCTAGTTTAGATGCAGATGATCCTTTAGATGAAGAGGAATCAGACTCTTCTTCAGATAGTGATGATGATACTGAAGCATTATTGGCTGAATTGAATAAAATCAAAAAAGAAAGGGCAATGGAGCAAGCCAAGAAGGTACAGATTGTTAATAGTAAAATAAATAGTATGTTTTTTACTACTTTTAATTAATAATTTTGTAGGAAATTGAAAGAAGGCAGGAAGAAGAAAGAATAAGAATGGAAAACATATTAAGTGGAAACCCTCTCTTAACTCATTATTCTGCAGGGGCAGCTAACAAAGAACATAAAGTGAAACGTAGGTGGGATGATGATGTTGTGTTTAAAAACTGTGCTAGATCAGAACCAGAAAAGAAGACAAATGTGTTCATAAATGACTCACTTCGTTCGGAATTTCATCGTAAATTTATGGAGAAATATGTTAAATGATTTATAGACAGACTTTTTTTGTATTTTATTGTATTAATTTTAATATAACAAGTAATTAGTTTCTGCAGTACAATATTGATTGATTATTATGTACAATATAGAGTTATTACTAAGTTAATTTCTTTGTCATTAAATTAAATGTTAAACTTAAGAAATAAACAAATTTTAATACCTAAATACGTATTTCATTAACTTAATTAATTACAATTATTAATGTAATACGAAGTTATAATTACTTAATTTGTTCAAGTAATGTATGCATCGTGAAAGCTCGCAGTGTATGTTGGGTTGCATATGATTGATTCAAAAGTCCTTAAATATTCAATAAATTAGTGTAATTAACTGATTGGGAGAAATTAAGAAAATATTTTTTCACAAAAATTGCAAACACAATTCGTTGAAATCTCGTTTCTTCCACTTTCCTACCAATGTTAATAAGTTATTCTTTAATTATTATAGTTTTTTTGTTCCCAGATTGCTAAAGTTTTATATGTTCTTATGTATCTACGGAAGAAAAACAATAGTGATTATGTGAATAGATAATTAACATAATAAATAATTAATAATAATGTGTCTTCACTAAGACGTCGTCTGTTTTTGCCCCTTCCACGATGGAATACCAGAACGAGAAATCAAAGGCCAAGAATTTGATTGGCTGCTTGGGGCGCCAAAACCTGTCTCCCATAAGTCTGAAAACAACCCGAGACTTTCAAACAATTTATTGTAAGTAATAAAATTTCTTGTGTGCTGCGTCTATGTAAGAACTACTAATTAGCATTATCGCAATCAAACACAGATCGCGGTCTGGTGTAGTTGTTACCGTGTGTTTGTGTGCCTATTAATTTAATCTTTGAGTAAACTAAAATGAATAATTTATTCGTGTTCTTGCTTCATATAAGCGTTGTGTTCGCCTATTCGCCTGCTGGACTTTACGTGGACAATGGTTTTGATCAGACAATAATCGAAAGGTCCATGACAAAACAAGAAAAACGAGAGGTCGAATTCGAAATTTTGAATATGCTCGGTCTCCCAAACAGGCCAAGAAAAGGGATAAATGCACCCTTGAGGAAATCTGCTCCCCGATTTCTCATGGACGTGTACAGGTCTTTAATGGAGAAAGAAAACGAAGACGAGAAAAATAGGGTTGAAAGAAATGCAGACTTGAATCTTAGCGGAGAAGAGCAGAACGCAATCGAGGAAAGCGATGTTATTATGACTTTTGAAAGTATCAGTAAGTCCTTTCAAATGTATAAAAATAAAAAACAATTGCAATTACTATCATGCCTACAACATTTATCCTCAAACGAAGCTACGTATTATATTTACTATCTACATATATCGCACATAAAAGTTCGCATATAGGATATTAATTAACATTTCAAAAGCATTCCAGACAAGATGTCGCCGGCATATACTTCTTAAGTTTATGTTTATAAATACGCAAAAGATCACAAGAACATGCATACATTTATATATATTTTGTCATTTTCAAGGAAACAATTATATACATACATCATAAATTTAAGCATCTGTGTAAACAGCTCTATTAACTACATTGGCAACGTAATACCTAATAATCAAATTAATACCTATTTATTTAAATTTTTGGTATTTACATTTGATTTTTGTTCTTATTCTGCAAGGGTTCTATTAATGAGAAACTAAAACTAGAAAATTAGTACTTATTAATTTATTACGAAAAATCATCAGGAATTTAAATAAATATTTCGTTCCCGATCATAGGCGGATCATAAGTGTTATAAAAGGATATTAAAAATATCTGTAAAACGTAATAAATAGGCAAAAATGTAGTGGTTGTTTTCTAAGCAACTTGAAGGCAGACTTATAGTTAAAATACTACAAGTTTTTAAATAATTATTGAATGTATACACTTGGATATACAGGGTGTACGTTGTTTGTATGATAGCTTCTGTTTTCTATTAACAATTCATTAAAATGAGTTTTTCCGAAAAAAGCACGAATTGCTGGTATTATTTTACAGGATGTGCATTAATTTGATTTATTACAGATAATCATGTTGGAGGAGTTAGACACGAACGGGGCAAGAGACTGTGGTTTAACGTATCTGAAGTGGATATAGAAAATGAAATAGTTGGGGCAGAATTAAGAATTTTTCAAAACGCATCTCGGTCTACTTCCGATTCTGAGAAAGTTTTTGTTGTTACAGCATACGAGCTAGCAAAATCTAACGAAGGGTAAGATTTTTGCAATTTGGAGCTAGTTGGATTTCTTTTTAAAAGGTTCCATTTCAGAATGTATGTTTTTAAAGAGTTTTGGCTTTTTTGTTAGACATACTAGCGCATCTCAATAACAAGCTTTAGGCCATACTATTGCTTCTTCGCGTATGATGGGTTGCCTGCACGTGATAAATCTTTTAGAATTTAAAAGTAGTATCAGGTAGATCGCAGGTTCAATTCCCGCAGGTGTATACATTTTTTTTTGTTAGATAAGATAAAATAAACTTACACAATTGATCGACACTAATATTTATTTTTATGCTTAAAAGTCTTTGTTAAAAATAATTAACAAGTCATGCATTTTTAAAAACAAATTCCTTTTAGAGAACGAGAATTGGAGTATGTTGATTCTGTAAATACGACCGCTGGCTTTACAGGTTGGCTGGAACTCAATTTAACAAAATGCTTTTCTACTTGGGTGGTATTTCCGGAATCGAATAAGGGTCTCTACCTGTCGGTTCATCCTGCTGGTAAACCAGGTAAGTTTAATAAGCTCCAAAAATTAATGACTCAAGGTTGGCGCCAACTAACTTAAATTTTTGCCACCGAATAGAGCGGTTCAAATATAAAAAAATGTAAGACGATTGCAAAATAGGGGAAAGCAAGAATTACTCTCAGATTTTGTTACAACAAATACTTTTTTATTTATATCATTAAATATATTTATATAATGTTGTTTAGATCATCGCTATTACAGACGACAGTTTAGTAGCATATTCAAATTAAACTATTACATATACCTACTTAACATTAATTAAAATGTTATTGCGTTGCAAACTGCGTCGTATTTGTGTTATGATATGATAGAAACAATGATTTGAGCTGAGAAATTAATTACCTACTATTTTAATTGATTTTTTATTTATTGTCTTGATTATAACGTTTTCTAAAGTAAGTTTATATTTTTTATTTAATAATCGCAGTTGCACCAGAGGCATAACAGTAAAGAAAGTTTTTTTATTTAATTAATGTTTAAGGAAGATTTTCGCAAAAGGGATGACATTATAATGTCTTTTTTAGCTCATGAAATAAGGTCAGAAGATATAGGTTTGGTGACAACTAAGGGTAACGATGAAACTCAACCCTTTATGGTGGCGTTTTTAAAAGCCACTAATCATGTAAAAGCCAGAACTACCAGGGAAATTCGTAGGACAAAGAAAACAACAGATTATTTAAGCATGATGAAGAACTCAGGTATTTTAATTTACTTATTACTGTTTTATTAAATAATTTTCTTGATTCACTCAACTTTGCTGTGTTAATATATACAACATGCTTGTATAGGATGTATGTTTGGTTGCATATCACTAATTAAAATAATCTATTATTTTCTATTAAAAGTCAATGAAAATAATGTTCGATCCAGATAGCACTACCTGGATGGATTTGTCACCCCCAGAAGCCCCTATACATAAAATTTCTTTCCAAAAATCTATGCAAATATTTGTTTAATTATGTACTTACATTCTGCTGCTTTGCTAATTAATTTTTGTTTTTATTTCCAGAAAACGTGTCGACTCATGACTGGAGGAGTTGTAAAATACATACTTNAGAAAATATTATAAAGGCTATAATTTGTTGTTGAAGGTTGATACCTTTACCCACTTTGTCGCCAGTCAATCCTCTAGCTACCCAGCGAAAAACGACTGGAAAACCGCTAGTGGGCCACTGCACATAGTGTTATCTCGGAATAAGAATAGTGTAGAGAAAATATTATAAAGGCTATAATTTGTTGTTGAAGGTTGATACCTTTACCCACTTTGTCGCCAGTCAATCCTCTAGCTACCCAGCGAAAAACGACTGGAAAACCGCTAGTGGGCCACTGCACATAGTGTTATCTCGGAATAAGAATAGTGTAGAGAAAATATTATAAAGGCTATAATTTGTTGTTGAAGGTTGATACCTTTACCCACTTTGTCGCCAGTCAATCCTCTAGCTACCCAGCGAAAAACGACTGGAAAACCGCTAGTGGGCCACTGCACATAGTGTTATCTCGGAATAAGAATAGTGTAGAGAAAATATTATAAAGGCTATAATTTGTTGTTGAAGGTTGATACCTTTACCCACTTTGTCGCCAGTCAATCCTCTAGCTACCCAGCGAAAAACGACTGGAAAACCGCTAGTGGGCCACTGCACATAGTGTTATCTCGGAATAAGAATAGTGTAGAGAAAATATTATAAAGGCTATAATTTGTTGTTGAAGGTTGATACCTTTACCCACTTTGTCGCCAGTCAATCCTCTAGCTACCCAGCGAAAAACGACTGGAAAACCGCTAGTGGGCCACTGCACATAGTGTTATCTCGGAATAAGAATAGTGTAGAGAAAATATTATAAAGGCTATAATTTGTTGTTGAAGGTTGATACCTTTACCCACTTTGTCGCCAGTCAATCCTCTAGCTACCCAGCGAAAAACGACTGGAAAACCGCTAGTGGGCCACTGCACATAGTGTTATCTCGGAATAAGAATAGTGTAGAGAAAATATTATAAAGGCTATAATTTGTTGTTGAAGGTTGATACCTTTACCCACTTTGTCGCCAGTCAATCCTCTAGCTACCCAGCGAAAAACGACTGGAAAACCGCTAGTGGGCCACTGCACATAGTGTTATCTCGGAATAAGAATAGTGTAGAGAAAATATTATAAAGGCTATAATTTGTTGTTGAAGGTTGATACCTTTACCCACTTTGTCGCCAGTCAATCCTCTAGCTACCCAGCGAAAAACGACTGGAAAACCGCTAGTGGGCCACTGCACATAGTGTTATCTCGGAATAAGAATAGTGTAGAGAAAATATTATAAAGGCTATAATTTGTTGTTGAAGGTTGATACCTTTACCCACTTTGTCGCCAGTCAATCCTCTAGCTACCCAGCGAAAAACGACTGGAAAACCGCTAGTGGGCCACTGCACATAGTGTTATCTCGGAATAAGAATAGTGTAGAGAAAATATTATAAAGGCTATAATTTGTTGTTGAAGGTTGATACCTTTACCCACTTTGTCGCCAGTCAATCCTCTAGCTACCCAGCGAAAAACGACTGGAAAACCGCTAGTGGGCCACTGCACATAGTGTTATCTCGGAATAAGAATAGTGTAGAGAAAATATTATAAAGGCTATAATTTGTTGTTGAAGGTTGATACCTTTACCCACTTTGTCGCCAGTCAATCCTCTAGCTACCCAGCGAAAAACGACTGGAAAACCGCTAGTGGGCCACTGCACATAGTGTTATCTCGGAATAAGAATAGTGTAGAGAAAATATTATAAAGGCTATAATTTGTTGTTGAAGGTTGATACCTTTACCCACTTTGTCGCCAGTCAATCCTCTAGCTACCCAGCGAAAAACGACTGGAAAACCGCTAGTGGGCCACTGCACATAGTGTTATCTCGGAATAAGAATAGTGTAGAGAAAATATTATAAAGGCTATAATTTGTTGTTGAAGGTTGATACCTTTACCCACTTTGTCGCCAGTCAATCCTCTAGCTACCCAGCGAAAAACGACTGGAAAACCGCTAGTGGGCCACTGCAATGTTTGGATGACCACCTTCTGGCATTTGAGATAAATAAGTTATCTTGTAGAATCTTCAGATATAGAATTGTGACTGTTTGTTTACTGTTTGCATAATTCTTCCAGTGACTTGAAATATCTCATACCAGAGTTGTCTTAAAACCATACATAATTGATATCTTAATTGGTACATATTCTCTTCTGTTTGAGTTGTTAGCATTGACGAGCATGTAAATTTGTAAATAAGTAAACTTTGGCATCAGTAAAAGTGTGTGTTATCAGTTATTCATTAATTGTTAATCACTCGATAAATATTTGATTAAAAACTTACCTACATGCATGGGTACATGAGATATTTTGCTTTTTTGTGTTAGTAAATTAGTGGTTCACCTGGATATCTTAGTAGTCACTGTTTCCTGCTATTTATAGTTATACATTATTTTTTGATTTAAAAGCATTATACAGAACTTCTATATTTAGAAATTGGTCAAGTACTTAAACGTGCATGAAGAAAAGGAAACAAAAAACAATTTATTTTACTTTTGTTTAATTTAATTTAATTGGATTAATTTATTTTGATATCCACTTTTAAAAGGTTTTTCATTCTTGTAGTTACGATTTCAAATTCATTGATGCCAATAATTAAGATTAGCATAAATGGAGAATCGGTATGTAAATTCTGACCCCTTTTTAAAATTATAATTATTGATTAAGGAAAAAGTAGTTTTTGTTATAAGGATATCACATTGATTTGTTGCATGTCGTGTGATATTTAAATACATCTTAATGATATTAAATGGGGATAAATTATTTCTTTATGTAAAAGGGACATTACATGTGAAAGCCTTTTGCTATCATATTAATACATTTATTGAAAATTAATGACATATCCCATATAAATAAATGGTCCCTATACTTGAAAAAACTGAAAAATCATAATTTAATATTGAATTGTTTAGTACCCTATATAATAAACCTTAGACCCTCTGACAAATTATTTCATAGTTCTAAATCTACCTTAAATGACTCTTAGAGCTTATCTACAAAAAATTATCGTGGGACAAGGAAAACCTCCAATGAAAAGTAGTAATTTAATATTGAGGAATTTCGCACTCCTTAAATAACCCTCAGACTCGCTGACAAATTATTTCATAGTGTTATTATCCCACTTAAAAGGTCTTTTAGAGTTTAGATACCCAAAATAGTTGTGGGACAAGAGAAACTTCCCCTGGCAAATAAAAATTTAATATTGAAGGGTGTAGCACCCTATAAATAATCCTTAGACCCGTTGACAAATTGTCTCATGATCATAATCCTACCTTGCGAGGCAAGAATAACTTCCACTGAAAAGTAGTAATTTAATATTGACGAGTTTCGCACCCCTTAAATAACCCTCAGACCTGCTGAAAAATTATCTCACAGGCATTATCCTACTTTAAATGTGTTTTAGAGGTGTCATTCTTATTTTTCTTCACAAAGATGTTTTATCAAATCATGTTTCAGGTTTTTGATCATATATACCTAGGTATTTGTGAATGTAGTAAATTGGAACTTGTTTAAAAGTTACCTGAATCTTCATCGACTTTCAACCGGTTTCTTCTTGGGATGTGTAAAATTGTTGTTAACACTAATAGGAACGAAGTGTGTCAGAATTTTTGTATGGTACCTAAGTATGTGATGTATCGAGAAACAAACAACGTAAACTAAATAAAGACGACTCTTTATTCTTCTTTAGTTGAGATTGGGTGATTTCTCTCAATGTAATTCATATATTGTCCCATTTTCGATAGCAAAACTACAATTCTCTGTAACAAAGGGATACAACACATTTGAGCAGTGAACACCACTGTATGTCTAATATTAAAAAAAAAAAAACTTTTTCCAGTACTTATTCACTTCAAACCATTTCTATCCAGGGCGTTCTTATGATACCCTACTTATATTCTACAATACTACATCCCAAAACGTATACCAACCATTACAAAATTATGTTTCACATTTCTAAATTGCATTGTAATTTGTCGCTAATTTATTAGTAAATTGAAAAATTTGTCGCTTCAGTCGATGAAAAATAGACAAAAATACTTGCCTTCTATCAAGCCAACACTACACATAATGTATTTAGAAATAGAAATGGTATAGGATGGATGGGCAATAAGTTGTAATTAATTTGTCGCTGAAGGTTGATACCTTTACCCACTTTGTCGCTAGTCAATCCTCTAGCTACCCAGCGAAAAACGACTGGAAAACCACTAGGAGGCCACTGCACATAGTGTTATCTCGGAATAAGAATAGTGTAGAGAAAATATTATAAAGGCTATAATTTGTTGTTGAAGGTTGATACCTTTACCCACTTTGTCGCCAGTCAATCCTCTAGCTACCCAGCGAAAAACGACTGGAAAACCGCTAGTGGGCCACTGCACATAGTGTTATCTCGGAATAAGAATAGTGTAGAGAAAATATTATAAAGGCTATAATTTGTTGTTGAAGGTTGATACCTTTACCCACTTTGTCGCCAGTCAATCCTCTAGCTACCCAGAGAAAAACGACTGGAAAACCGCTAGTGGGCCACTGCACATAGTGTTATCTCGGAATAAGAATAGTCTAGAGAAAATATTATAAAGGCTATAATTTGTTGATGAAGGTTGATACCTTTACCCACTTGGCGCTAGTAAATCCTCTAGCTAGCCAGCGAATAACAACTGGAAAGCAGCCAAGGAGGCACTGCACATAGAGTCATCTCGAAATAACAATGACGTGGAGAAAATATTGTAAAGGCTATAATTTGTCGCTGAAAGTCGATACTTTTACCCACTTTGTCGCTAATGAATCCTCCAGCTACCCAGCGAATAACCACTGGACAGTCGTCAAGAAGGCACTGCACATAGTTATCTCCGAATAAGAGTAGCGTGGAGAAAATATTATAAAGGCTATAATTTGTCGCCGAAGGTTGATACCTTTACCCACTTTGTCGCTAGTTAATCCTCTAGCTACTCAGCGAATAATGACTGGAGAGCCAGCCAAGAAGGCACTGCACACAGTGTTATCTCGGAATAAGAATAGCGTAGAAAAAATATTATAATG